AAGGTCTTTAGAAGCATACATATGCTGGTATGTTTGGTGTTCACCAAACTATATTACATTAAACTCTTAACCTTCAGGTTTTATAAAGCTTTTCAATTTGCTGATATTGCTAGCTTACCCTTTGCATGCCAGTTTTAGGCCCATACTTACCTTTAGTGGACCAGGGGGATCCACAGAGAACCACTGTCCTTTTACGTATGTAAATCACTGAGAACTACCTCTCCAAGACGCTCTAAATGAGTGATGCAAATTGTGTGGCTTTTGGCCATATGAAATTTCTTATTTGTTGGGCTCGGAAGGCTGCATTTCATGCAGCGTTCATTAACTGGAGCAGCATTATGAAATCTAACTAAATAGTGCTCCAAAAATGGGGGAAGGAAGGTAAGGTTGCTCATGCTTTTCTGCTCTGTTTCAAGTCAGCAGTTTGGCTGGTTTCCTACCACTTTTCAGATCAGTGCAAGTGCAGACTCCCCTCTTCTTCCAGAGGTCTGTTTTAACAGACAAGTTTTAACTCTTCTCCAGAAGTTTCTTCTGATTAATGTAAGCTGTTGTAGCTGAGGAACACAGGTTACTACATCCTGATGATGTCCTTCAGCCTGCTCTGCCTTCCTACATACCTTGCTTAGGTAAGATAAACCCCAGAAAACTACACAGGGCTTTGAGTCCTACTATATTTGTGGTAAGACTCTCCTCCTCTTTTTTTTCTTTTTTTTATACCTTGAAGTAGAAGGGAAATCAAAGCCAGAAAGATTGCAGAAGATACTTTTTTTTTTTTTTTTTAAAGACAAAAGAAGTGGAGTAAAGTAGAAGTTTAAACGAGTATTATCAGAGAATTAATGCTTTCCTCACATCCTCTGAAGGAGGGAGGTGCTGTTCATACCTCTTTCAAGCTACTTTCTTGAAGGACTTTGCCTGTTACATGTGTTTGGGAGTATACTGTTGCAGAAATAGGTCTCTGTCACTCTTGGAAATCCCTTTATCTGATGAACCTGGAGGGGCGGAAGAGTGATAGCAAAACTAAAATGCAGGCTGAAAGATGAATAAAAAAAAATCAATGAAGTGATGAATGTGCTGTAAGAATCTGAACATTCTGTAGGATTACACTGCCTGTGTTAAGCTTTTGGAAGCTAGTTAACTTGGGCTGAGCAAAGTTCTTGATCTGTTGTACCATCTCCTTAGATACATCCGCAGATCACTTGTAGTTTTCCTGATCAGTTTAAGAAGAGACCTGACTTAATTTTAGCAGCGGGATGGACAGACAGGTAACTTCATCTCTCAAGAGTTTTGAAGACAAACATTAAGTAAAAAAGTTACATATCCTTCTAGGAACTCTGAGACCTTCCAGCATAGCTGCAAGTTCTGAAAATATCCGGGTACAATAAGAGAAATCTTGCATCAAGGAGGATGATAAACTGAAGTTTCCAGATTCTCATCCCATATTCAGATTTTTTTGCCTCTGGAAGGTTTAAAAATTTGTAGCCCAGAGGCTTGAAAACTGAGCAGTTCCTCTGCATCAATGTTCACTCAGTCAGTGAGTTCAAGTCTCCTCAAAATGGATTTGCTAGGGTGTTGTATGATCAGTTACATGCACGTTTAACTCATCGTTGTAAGCTACGCTTGCTATTCTTAAACAGCATGATGCCCTCTAATAGAGGTGTAGCATATCATCGTAATCTTCTGGAGTGATAATCTTTACCTGCCTGATGAGAGAATACCCACTCTAAGCCTTTGCTTGCTCACATGCCTCAATCACCTCCTCTGAAGAGTAAGCCGAGAGTTGAAATGTCTCCTCCTATGCAGTTTGTAGCTCAGTGGATGCTTTCAGTGCCATGCTAACCTGTGACTACCATTGGCTATGCAAGGCTTTCTAAAATGAAAGAACAGATTAACTTGGACACTTACCTTCTCAGGATAATCTGTAAGTGTTAAATTTTGTGGGGGGGGGCCCCCCCCCACTTTTTGTGGGGGGGCCCCCCCCCCATTTCCCCCCCCCCACATCAAAATGTGATGTATCTATCCTAATGACTTTGTTATTCTTCCCAACGTGAGTAACAGTTGAGTCTCCAGACTAGTTCCTGGAACACTTTTAATCAGCAATCTGCTATGCTGCTGTAATGAACTTGCATTTGGCTGCCTCTTCCAGTGTCCTGCTTGTATCCTCCTGGAAAAGGCACTGTACTGATATTTCACTGGTGTTCCATTGATCTTAATTTTGCGCCTTCAGGGAAAACACAGCACCCTGTGATTAGGGCCATCAAGCTTACTGAAAAGTTGCAAGCAGGGTTATTTTTCTGGAATTGATATGTTAGCACAGGTGGCATAGTATTACTGTGTCCATTATGATTTTAAGAGATCTGATTTTATTGTGTGTTTTGGGGGTGGGTTCTGAATCTGTAAGGTAGGCATCTGAACAACAGAACAGAAAGGGAGTGTTACTGTACTCTGAAAGAAACAGAAAATAGAGATGTTACTGAGATCTCCAGAAGCTAAATCTTCTGTACATGTTATGTTTTAGAAAATCTTCACATGACTCAGGGCGAATACCTGTTCCTTTTGATGATGCAAGGGTGCATCCCCCAAGCAGACCCCACTTGAGCACTGTAGGTTTGAGGTAGTCTTAAGAATGCCCTTTATCAGTAGGCAAACAGTGGGGTGCTTTGCAGTACTTTGTATTACTTTGAGAATAAACAAAACATTGCAGTCAGAATAAACAGCAAGTTGTGAATTGTTCTTGTGCGCTTCTGTAAATATGATTAAATCTTGCTGTTCTGGCAGCTTATACTCCTTGTTGCAAAACAAAGAAAATAAAATCTAGTTTTCATAAAGTGAATGTGTGCTGTTGAGAAATAAACAGTGCGCACATTTTTAACAGCAGAGTCTATGCTTGTTTGGCTACTCTATAGGTCGGTGTTCAGGTACTTACTGCAACTCTTCTGTTACCCAGTGAGGTGAATGAGGGGCAGATCTATCAAGGTATATGTCTCTCATGAGATTAGTACATCTGCCTAGGCTCGACACAGAAGAAACTGTCCATGCAGGTAGGGAATATTCAGATGACAGTCTCAGGATACTTGACTATCGCACTTTAGATGACCTGAATTGGACAGAGAAGTTGCATTATATTTTGGTGAACTTTCTCAGACTTTCTGCATCTTCTCCGTTCTTCTTTTTCTGCAGTTCCTGGTCCTCAGATACTGAGCAGTCAGCATTGGCCTCCCCTTTTCGGTGTCTGTTGTTTTTTCCTTATAATTGTTCCTATTTCGTGGTAAAGGTGAAGCAGTTCTTAATGTTGCAATGATGTATACTGTTGCAGAGATGCATATATATTTTTAAAACATTTCACAGGCAAATGTGCATTCATTTTTCTCAAAGTTTCTAACATTATAAGTTGCGGTGATGCGTATGTTGCTCACAGGGATGCCAACGCAGCTTCTAGAGGTGGCTCTAGGCTGCTGAAGTTCAAATGTCATCAGCCTCTTCATCACAGAAGCATCTTACTGCAGGGGGGACAAATAAGGCTTTTTCCAGAAACGTGATCAGATAATAATAAATTAGTTTTTTTTCCATGAAATAATTCCAGCAAAACCAAGCAGTGACTAAAAGCTGAAAAGAGCTGCACAAGTGGAGAAGAGTTGTCTTTGACTAGTTCATTGAATCAGTCCAAGCCCATCTCTTTTCTGGTAACAGTTTCATATTCTTTCCTGAACACAATAAAACATGCAAGTGATTTGTTTGGTTTTCTATTTTGTCCTTTTTGAGTTGTAAACCAAAACATTGTGAGCAGAAAATCTGTATCCAGTTTATTTCCAGCCATATTTCTACAAAATTACATGGCTTGAATGCTTGTTTATTGATTACTTGAAAGCTTTCATGTGTATTTTTGAGCAATTTTAATATGAGAGTTCAGGTGTTACTTTGTATGAATTTGGAGTTCAGCTTTTAATGTACTGTTATATTCACATTACTTTTTATTGTGTGTGTATATATATGTAGACAGATATATACTTTATATGCATCAAAGGTTTTTGTTAAAATACATATTGTGATTTTTTTGTTTGTTTGCTTTATTGGTTAAAGTATCTGTTCTATGTTTTGCCAGTGCATGGTCTTAAATTAAACCAGTTACGTTCAAATAAAACTCCTTTTGTTGTTCTTTTGTGTGTGAGCCATTCTGACATAAGGTATGGACTTAGATCACGGAGGCTACCAAGAGAGAGGTTTGTGCGGTTGTGAGGTGAAAGCACTCTTTGTTTACTTCTGGTTTGCTGTTCCCCTTTCCCCCGCAGCACAACAGTTTACAGTATTTCCCCCCTTTTTTCCTGACACTGGAAAGTGTAACAGTATGGAGCATGACAAGGACGTTTTTTTTGCAATGTCCAGAAAAGCTTCTTTTGTTCCTGTGGAAATTCTAGAAGTCCTGCAGACTTCCTGCAGTCCGAAGAAATCGGAGACTTCTAACGCAGAGCTGCTGACAGCATGTTGCTTAGTGGTGGCTTTATTTGGTATCTCCCCTGTGGCGTTCCGAAGCAGACTTAATAGGAAGAGAAGCATTCCCCAAAACGCTGGTGTGTTAAAGAAATGAACTTCTGTTTCGTGACATTACTGAATAGCATAGTGGGGGGAAAAAAAAAAAGAGACATAGCATTGTAAGAATTTGTGACTTTGTTCTGATGTAAATGACTCGGCATTTATGAAAATATTGCAGCAGTAGAAGGCTGCCAATAGGGGGTTTATGCCTCACAGCACGAGGATTTCATGTAAACAGCTGAAGTCTGGGTTTTGGCAGCACAAAGTGACGTTGAGTTACAGGTGAATACACTGTTATGCTGGCAAGAGTTGAGTGGTACCAGTAAAATGTTGCAATCTAAGAAAAAGTGGCACTAGGATCTCAGACAGAATAGATGCACATTTTGGAAGAGGGGGAAGACTGCTCTTAAATTTTGTCTAAGCTTATTCTTTCATCTAAAACAAAACAAAAACCTTGTTTGCTTCTGTTTTAGAAAAGCTAATGAGGCCCCTTAAGAACTATGGCATCGCATGGTGAGCATATTTTTTAATATAAATCTAACTTCTTTAGAGATAGATACACTTGGTGTGATGTTGGAAACCTAAGTTGTTGCTTTTTTGTTTCAGTATGTCTATGGGTTTCTTGATAGAAGAGACTGCCCCAGTTGTATGGAGGGGGCTTATGGTAATGTCTGCTGTTGAGAAACTGCTGAGACAGGTAAGGAGCTACTTGAAATGTTATTTGCATAATAGACAAATCACTTATATTCACAATTGTGTTTAAGACTGAGCAGTTATTAAAAATGCATTTGACTGATATATGAACGTATACAATACTGTTTCATGTAGTAATGGTGAGCATTTTTGTATTTTGGTCTTATGTATGGGCGTATATTGTTGATAGGCTTCTGAAAGTGTCTATGCACTAAAGATTTATTTATTCTCAGTGTTATCAGTCATTTAACAGAAAGGCTTTCACTGGAAAATCTAATGGCACAAACTTCCCTGTGGAAGCTTGCTAAGAATCATGGGCCTAAGTGCTATTTGCAATTTTACTTGCTTGTGAAAGTTTCCTAATTTAGGCAAACTATGAGGGATATACATTTAAAAAAAAATCCCTGGAGGTTATCCCAAATGAACTTATAAGATCAGTGGTTTGGTACTTACACAGTGTTTTCAGTGGTCCATATTCGGTAGCAGTTCCTTTGACTTGCAGTTTTCGTGGCCTTGGAGTGTGATTTCCTTGGCCATTGGAACTGATGATTGTAAGGCAAATTAAAATGTTCTCGGTTATTCTTTTCACTTCATTTCCTGTGTGTTTTAAGTATTTATTTTGACTTATAAACATGACTTCTACTTAACTTCAGTTGTCTTGTAACTGTTCTGAGGATAAGAGAATTTAATCTTAACCTCAGGTAAGAGGGAAAGTTGATGCTTTTTGCACTTCAGTAGGCCCTTCAGATAGAGCTATTGTAATTGTTCCATGCATTTGATGAGTGAAACACTCCAGTCTGCATTTCTTCTCATTCTTTTTATGGCTTTTTTTTTTTAGGCAATTGTAAAAAATGGTGATATTTTGAAATTCCTTAAGCGTTTGAATATAGGTTTGCACGTCTAGAGCCATATTGCCTTATGTGCTTGTTTATTCACCAGGACTAAGAGTGCTTTGGTAGCATTTGACATATGACAGCTAAATGAGAATTATTAGATACCATCTCTGTGTAGTGCAGATAGACTGTTAGTTAATAAATTTCCTGGCATATGGAAGCAGGGTGGCTTTTTTATTTCTTGACAGAATTTATTTTCCTCTTATTGTGGGTAGATCTGTGAAGTGCTAATGAGATAAACAGCTGAAAGAAATGCATTAAGGTTGCATGTTTAGACTTTGAAGTGGCCCAAGTTGTTCGTGGCTGGCATGTATTCCAGGGACTTAATGTATACAGCTTGGAGATCACTAGGTTTCGGTATGTCTTCTGTAAATGCCTCCAAATCATATGCTCCCTTAATGACTGAAAGGAAGGCGAGGAAGGCTCTCCTCCTCCTTCCCCCCCTCTCCCCCCCAATAGCCCTGCCCCGGCCTGTTTCCATTCTAGTTCTACTCAATTCTCCTCTGTTTCTAGCACAGACTTTAGAATAGTGGTGCCCTAGTCAGAAAAGCCACGTGTCCAACTAATTTTAAGGAAGAACGTCTTTGTCTAGACTTGGCATTGAAAAATAAGGGGCATTCATGCCAATAACTGTGGAAGGCTGTTCCAGCCTCCTCATGTGCTGCATGGTATTGGTCAGTATTGCAAAGACTACAGAACCTAAAACTTCAATAGCAGAGCTAAAGTTAGCACCTGCTATATTCGCATACCAGATCCTGGGAGACTAAAGACTTTTGGCAGGCACTCCAGTGCTATTACTTCAATCGGTGGTATCCCCAGATGGGAAGCATGTGCCAGTTTTCTTGACTGGGGTGCTGATAATGCCATATAATGAGTTGGTTATTCCCTAGCAACCAGCGAAGCAGTTATGCTCTGGCAGATCATGCTGTAGCAATGAGACAGAGCCCCTTAATGCTGGGGGCATTAGTGATTTCCCTGATAATGGAATTTAACTTCGGAAAGAAGAAAGTTTAACAGCTAAATTTCTTCTCCTTGAAAGCATTTTGCTTCTGTATGTTAACCAGGCTGACCTTAAATCTGGGATGGAAAAAGTTGTTTGCATGTTCTCCTGGGAAGACACAAACTCACAGATCACAGGAAGCGCTGGCAGGTTCTAATGTGCAAGTGGTTTTTAGAAAATAACTAATAAACTATTCAGATTGACACATAGTATTTTGGTTTTAAAGACTTTAATCTCCCTTCTGGCTTAATTACTGGTCAGTCTTAAGAGTGGATGAACTCTAGAGCTAGTAGAGTTACAGCCTGGGACACCTAAATGGGAGAGGACTGATAATGTTTTTAAAGACAGTACCATTCCAGTGTATATTGGAAACGGTTTTGTGATCTTTTGGGGGCTCTGAAATAGATCCATGTTTTCTCTTAATCTGTCACTGATTGCTCTTAGCCATTACATTTTGTTCAACGGGATAAAGTTGCTTGCAAAAGTAAAATATTTCTGTTTGTATTTAACTTCCTAGTAGTCGTTTAAAATATGTTCTTAGGGAGTAGCTCCTTTTTCTCTCTGTAGGTGCCTATAAACCTAAATCTAAAGTAGCTCCCTAATCTAGGTTTGTAATATAATGTAATTTGAGTGTAAGGAGCTTTTTTTGCATTCAGACAAGCTAATAAAATATTATGTCAGCCAGATAAAAAAAAAACAGTTCATGTAATTTATTGTGTCAGATATAGATTCCCAGGCTTTCACATTAAAAACATTTGTAGTGTTGTTTAATGGTATTTATTGTTAGTTTTTTAGAGTGTCAAGAATTATATATATGGTCTATGAATAACTTTGGACCTTAGTTGTAGTTTACTAGCTTTTTTGTTTGTTTTTTCATACAAATTAATCTGTTCTTCAGTTGATCATGCTTCGGATACTCCAATAAAGCACTAGTGGGCCTAGTTTCCAAACTCATTAATGGAGATTTTATTAACTCATTAGCTTGTTAACTCATTAAATCAGTGGAGCTGGATTTTAATGAGTATTTAAATGTTTCTTTTACTCTTGCAACTTAAGTCTCCAAGATTCTTATTTTGGAAAATAAATTTGTTACATGTATGTGTATATGTGCCTCATTACATACTTACTGCATGTAGAATTTCCTACTCACACAATCAAAGGGCTTTGCAAACCGCATTTTTTGTAATATATGTATGTCTATCCTTCTCTGGTCTTGCCTCTTGGGTGGAAGAATGGCTTTTCAGCGCTCAAGAGTCCCCTGTGCTTTTTCTGTCTCTTTGCAGTTCTGTTTGTTTATGGCCAGGATATGCATCACTTTTCAGATAAGCACTGCCTTTTAAATCTAGGCTCTCTTTTTGCTGCATGTCTTATTTGAGAAGCTACGTTTGTTCTAGTGTGTTGTGGCTTCAAGACTGGTAGCTACCAGTCTGTAATACTGAACGCTCACATTAGTGCTTGGTGCTTCTTTGGTAATCCGTATCTCCTGTGCAAGGATAGTTCTCTGAAACAACGTGGTATGTTTTTTCCTTGAACAGAGTTAGACTTGGAAGAAAATGGGCCTTGTGGTACAAAAGGGAGTTAACAGTTTATACAGTAATACTGTATTACAGTAATACAGTATGTTATGTATATATATCAAATTATGTAAATATATCAAATTAGTGTATAAATCATAAAATATAGCATACTGATTCTGTAATGTAATGTTCGAACTTGTGATAAAAGCATAGCTCAGTAGAAAGGAAGGGAAGGGGGAGAAAAAAGTCACTGAAGAAACAAGAAAAATATCAGGAAATAATTTTTCACCTGTAGCAAATGTGAATTACACTGTATGGAACATATGATGGACATGAAACTTAATAACTCTTTCAGTTAAGTATATCTCTAGTTTACGTGAGTTGAAAATAAGGTGGCAAATTGTCATAGGCCGTATGATCTGAGTTTAGTTGTTGGGACCGAGAAGTGACTTTTCTTGGTTAATACAATTAGGTGTACTGTAGACCTGTTTACACAGCAGGATGATCTTTTTTCTTACCCAGATGTTAACTCTCCCTGTTTTCCTGCACCAATTGTCTTCATATAAAAATTCTTTCACCTCTGTTACACTTCCTTTGAATCTTGCTTGCTTGTATGTGAGAGACAAAGGAGAATATTTTAATGGTTTACTGAAGTTTTTTAAAAGGTGGTTCTGAAATGTTATTTATTGTGAAGATATTGCTAAAGCCTAGGTAAAGAAGCTTACGTTTTGATGCTTCAGCGTTACCTGTGGCAGTAGACTTTTTCTGTTCATTTCCCACTTACTTAACTTGCACTTTGGAAGCTGCCTTCTATTTTGTGTAGTCCCATTCAGCACCCATCCCTTCACTGTGTGTGACTTGACTCGGTTTTGTAGTATTTGGTTCAGATTAAACAAGTTACCTTGAAATGCATTGTCCATTGTCTTAGTGTATTTGTCATGGCAGAGAGTTCAGGTCAATCTTTAGGGTAGGTAGAGCAAAGATCCTGATTTTTCGAGAGTTACCTAAGGTCTGTACTTGAATGGTAATGTTTCTGAGAAGGTCTGTTGAAATAAGGATCAGGTAGACAGTTGTTCAGCACAAAGAGCCCTGGGAGCCTTAAGATCAGCTATAAAAAAGCAAAAATGGCAAGCAGAGCTTGTTGTTCTTTGGGTTAAACTGCTTTTACAACTGCTTTTACAACATGGATCCTTACTTCTGCCCCATATAGCCTGTAGGATAAGTTTTCTAGTGTATTCCCGTTCCTATTAGAAGACATCCTAACAGTTTAGGGGAAAGGGAGTAACGACGGAGGTGCAGGTGCAGTCTTGAACTGGCCCGTGAGCAGCAAGATTGGCTGCTGGGCATCCTGGGCTGCATTCTGACGACTGTTTTACCAAAAAGCTGATGGAAAAGAAATGGTACTGCAGCTGGCCCCCATTTTTATAGCTGCTATAGTCATAGCTGCAATACACGTGGAGGGCATTTGTTGTTTAGGCAGTAACCGTTAAAGCTTTTACTGCAATGGAGAGCAAGAGATGGTTGCTCAGATCTTCAACTCTCTATCTTGCTCTACATGAGTTATCAAGTTGAAATCCAAAGAAAGAAAGAAAGA